AAGATTCCCAGTGATACAGAGTCAAACCCCTTGTGCACAAAGTGAGTGATACAGGTGGGAACAGAAATTTGCTCTGCAAATTTGCTCTTGTGCCAATCTGCCTTGTATGAAAGCCTGTGCCTCACCCTGTACTGTGCATCTTGCCAGGATTCAGGTCTCCAAAAGTTCCATTTTAAATCCCTTTTCTTCACCACCACCTCCAGCCTGGGCAAACTCATCCCAGCCCCGCCTTTGTTGCAGGAGTTTCTCAATCCCTCCCACATCTCCAATTTCTTGTTATTTGCAGACACCTTCTGGTACTACCCAGGTCTTGAAACAACTATTAGAAGCATACATAAAGCAGCATATTATCATAACAGTGCCAGAATCCCACTGAATACCCAAAGCAAATCCAATGTTTAACCCATGTGTAAGCATCACGACTCTTGGCCACATTAGTTCAACAAAGGAACTGAGAGAAAACAAAATTTCAGAGGTGGCACCAATTATTCTCTCCACTGCCGTTTCAAATCAGAGCCATCTTTTCTTCGAAGAACGGACCCTTCCTGATACGATCGAGTTCTTGGCGAGAGCTCATCCAGTCACAAGCCACAACGATGCTCAGGTCCTGAAACAGCACAAAACCGACTCTACAGCCATTACACAAAGCTCAACCCCTAGCACTTCTTTAAGAGGTAGGAGCATCTTGGCTCCCAGGATTATTGTACTACTGTCATCCAACATGTTAAATGGCCCCTGAGAAATTAATTTAAAGTGCTTGTGGAAAGCCACATGGGCTACTATTCTGGTGCTCACTCACGAGGAGTTATGAATGGTTTCTTCCTTTGATTTAGGAGGGTGTGTTGCTGGAAGAATTGTTGGAAAGAGATGGGATTTAATAAAGAAGTTTGAATATCCCAGAAGGCAAAAGGGTGCGATTCCCAGATTTTTTTTTTTTCAGAAAGGGACAGGTACTACTAGACTCTTCCCCCCTTCCCTCTGCTCAAGGCTGCCCTCTGCAACATGCAGTACGAAGAAACTGCTACACCAGTGTACGTCTCCATCCTATTGCACACCATCCAACGCTTCAGTAAGATGCAACCGAGACCCAATTCCACAACTGGGTCAGTAACTTCCAAGTCTACACAAAATAATAAACTTACTATGGTATGTTAAAGCATCCAGCATGCTGCTGGTGATGTACAAATAATAAATAACTACTTTGACTTATCCAGACCCTCCACCAAACCATAAAAAGGAAAAAAAAAATTTCAATCTAAGGATATTTTTCTACTTCATTAAAATATTTGATCACTAATCTCTCTAACTGCAAAAAGCCAAGAACGAAACTTATCTTTAACAACCATTCAAGGCACAGGCAACAAAAGAAAAACAAAGAAAGATGTGATTCCTTAGTTTAAGATCATACAGAAAAATCATGGACACTTTGAAATGGGGCACCCTCAAGAGAGTACCTGTTGAAGGTGTCTTCAGGGCAGATTTCATTGACTTGATATGAAATATTTTTAGAATATATCAGATGAGTATAATGAAAAGTGCAAATGAAAATTGCTGCTGTTGAGAAGAGTGAGGCTTTGGCTGGATTAAGGCCATGGTTTGTTGCATTCTTTTCCCTTATTTCATACCCTGTAATGCACCCCTACAATCACACAGCAGCAGGGATGCATTTTAGTAACATATGAACAGAAACTAGCATTGCCCTACTCCAGCCTGCACTGTGCCCTTCTTTTACAAGTCATCACAATGAATTTGTGGGGATCCACAGGACCCATGTTTCCCAGTATCAGATGAGGCAAT